TGGGTGGGTATTAGGGATGGAATTGTCCTGTCCAGCACTGCAGACCTTGGTGGTTGTGTGAGGGACCCCATGGGGACATCTGCAGGGTCTGGCCATGCACTGGGTGTTATAATTATTAGCCACTCTGTTATTAAATGCCTTTTGCTGGTGGCAGCAGTAGCACTGACTCTGTCGCCTCCTGCTCCTGGTGGTCCCCAGGTCCCTGTCCCCACCCCTATGCAGTCACTGTGAGACCCAACCCTCACACCATCATTTCCACACCAAGAAGCATCAGAATACTCCTTCACTGACCCCAGTGTGGGAAAAACAGCAGACCAGACACCATTTCCAAGTGTTAACCATTTATAAATAAGTACATTTTTTCATACATACAGTTTTCATTGTACAGATTACAATCTGTATACATTGGAGGGGGGGAATGCATTCTTTTGAACTTTTCACATCTATCTCACAGCTCACATGTACAGACAAGATAACTCTGCTCAAGCAAATACAGCAAAGGAAAAAATATGTTTTCTTTTTTCCTTAGAGATGAGAGGCAAAGGCCTCTGCTGTTGGCAGGGGCTGCTCTTCCCACTGCACAATATCACAACTGTGTGGTGTTCAATATATCAGAGAGAATAGAACATGCATTGGATAATATACTGTACAGAGAGGAGTCCTTTACATCAGAATTATAGAAAAGCTAAAGGAAAATTTGAGTGTCTTAAAGATCTTCCCAGCAAGTGTCTCAGAGGACGGCAACCAGGGAGTTGTACAAAGCACAAGGCGGGTGTAGTGGACATGTTTGTACCCAACTCAGATCCTCTTGGATGTGAAGACAGAAAGGAGATGGAACGCTGAATGCAACACTATGGCAAAGAAAAGGCTGGACAGGGATGAGCCCGGCAGTACTGGCAGAGTCCACGGAGTCTCTGGTTATCGGTGTAGCAACACAATGGACTTTATGTAGCACGCAGTGCTGCTCTCAGTGGCTGGCTGAGCAGTGCCCAGTGAGGCAGACCTGTGGGGACCCAGCTCTATGTGCACAAGGCTTTCCCACCTACCCATTCCGACCCTGACTTGCCTCCCCACTGCTGCCTCTGGACAGCATCACGCAAAGGGATGAAGTCTTTTGGCAAAGCAGCCCTCTATTTTCACAACCACGGATGTGATCCCATCAGATGGGACCCATCTGCTGACTCCCCAGTACCGCAACAGCTAGAATATGAGCAGGAGGAAGGATACAGCTGGCAGGTTGGGTGTCTGTTGCCTTTCCCTGTGATGGCCATGCTCGCTGTGATCTCTCGGGTCGGTCTGTACCAGTTGTGGTGAGATCCAGCTGTATAGTCAAGAGTTGGACACGAACGCATCTTGCTAAAGAATTGAGCCCTTAGTGGTTTATATTAGAAAAAAGAGTGATTGAATGAAAATCCAGCAATTATTCACACAAAGCTGAAAAGAACGCAGATTCACTTTCAACCGTTGTGCTTTGTGTCCAACACACCACCCAGCAGCCTGCACAGTGCAGCCAGCATGGGGTGAAGGCATTGATTTGCAGAGGTCCCAGCAGGTACAGCAGCTCTTTCCCTAAGCCCTTGGGTAAACACTGATAACCCAGAAGAGTTACCTTGAATTCCCAAGACTACAGCAAAGTACAACCACCAAGGAGCTCGTGGCAGCTCACTTCGACCCCCGCAGGCAAGGAAGGCGGAGGATGAGCAGGCACGCTGGCTTGCTTGGTTCTCTAGATAAGGCAGAGCTGGCACTTCGGTTTTAGCTAGACTTCTCCTGGGTAGCCCTGAATATACTGCAACATTTGTAAAGGAGACTGAATCGCTCCCAGTTTACTACCCACTCTGGTTCCAGATCTCATCCCAGCATGACTCTGGTGTTTGGCATACGCGTGCTCACATGTTCACACCAGCCACATGGTTTTCTTCACAGCTAGGTTAAAGAAAAATAACCAGAAAGTTCAGTGCTTGGACTGATATAGCTGGGCACTGGTGCCACAGCGGACAGACAGATGGACAGAAACACATCTCAGGTTGCTGGAGCTGTCACAGTCCTCCCAAACAGTGACACAGAGAAAGCAGCTCAGGCTGTGCATCCTTTGGAGATGGATCTCAAAGGATCTGTCTTTGTAAAACCCTCCTTCCTAAGCACTTTGATGCCCACTCAAGACTATGTCCAAAGCCCTCTGATGCCACTCCCAGCCTGACTGGGGGGACACTGCAGAGCCCCCCACCATGTTAGTGTCCCCTCCCCTGGGCCACAGCATCCTCCCGACCTGGGAGAAAAGCAAGAGCCAATGAACCCCCACTGAGGGATGGGGCAGACACCCACACCTGATGCTGGGAGAGAAGATTCCAGCTCTGCGGCGGCACACCTGGGTCTCGGAGCAGCCACAGGTGAGGATGAGAGACACCTGGTGGGAAGGTTGGCTAAAGGAAGAGGTCAGCTTCGCCATCACTTTTGGCATTGCCTTCCCCATGCACCCCAAGAATGAAAACCGGAGTTTCAGTATCAAGAACCTGCTTTGCTCGGTGGACCCAAAATCCTACTTGCTCGAAGATGGGGCTTGCCCGTGGTACCACTGCAGCTGGGAGTGACACCAGCTGGCAGCACTGTCCTGCATCTTAATTACTCAAAAAGCAGTTAAATATGTAGCACAGACATACAGGACAGCTCAGTGTCTGAAACTGAGTGTGATCCCACAATGTGGCCTGTGGTTGTCAGACCTACATCTAAGAGGAGAGGATGAAGGGCCCTCAGGGTGAGTTCTGATCTTGTGCTCCCCCCAAGCACAACGGGGCCATGCTAGCACAACACAGAATGACCTCTTTTTCTCCTCATGCAAAGATTAAATCGTGACTTAGAAGACATAAGAGGCTGAACAAGAACAGCTTTTCCAGGAAGAAATGTGCTTCTCACCCACCTGGTGACCACAGCAGCCATCTTGCCTCGACTGTCCATAAGAGAATTGCCGGGAAAGTGCTTTAAAACCACTGCAAATACTTTTGTATTCAAAAATTACTCAATCTGTTGATGCTTATATACAGGAGTCAGTTCTTGTGCTATAAATGTTGTGATTCATTGCTTCGTTTCTTTTCTCTTCTTTTTTTTTTTTTTTGAAAAATACACTAAGAGACATGAGCTGTTTTGCTATTTTTCTAAGTAAGACACTACTCACGCTTAAATATCCAATATTTATCATAGTAACAAATTCAAACAGTAAAGTGCAGCCATTTACAGAGAGAAGAGATGGAAAACCATTAGTGCAAGAATCTGTGGAAAATGTAACACGTGGAATTGTGAAAAAACCTGCATGCCGCAGTGTTTCAAGCCTTCTTCAGCTTCATGGTTGTGTTAAAAGCATGAGCTGTTTTCTTTTTCCTGTAAAACATCTTCAGAAACTGAAAAGTTACACACAGGAGTGCTGTAGGGGATGTTTTGAAGGACAGGACTGGGAGCAGAAGGCAGTGAGTGGCGAAAGCAAAGCACGAGCAGTTCTCCTGTCAATGCTCCTGGACCACCCTGTTGGTGTGGCAGAGGCGAGGATCCACCCGCGGTCACAGTGTGTCTCACTCGGCCAGATAGAACAGGGACAGGGCTGAACTGGGTTACTTGTTCCTTTCAAAGAAGCAACTAAAGGTAGGAAGCCACTCACTCAGGCAGAAAACTGGAGGATGAGAAGCACTAAGCAAAGTGACTGATGCTGCTCCAGACCCAGGATACGTCTCCCAGCTATGGGCGTGTGGGATGCGGAGGAGAAATCGGTTATTCCTTACAATACAGAGCATGTTATTTCAAAAATGAGAGGAAGAAAGAAAACCATCACACCCCATTTGCAAGGAGAGAAACCACGCACAGAGCTGAGTGTCCTCACGGGGTACCTGCCCCATCAAAGGGGTCCCAGCCAGCCCCCATTTTACAGAGCCCTGGGATAAAGCAAAAAGTCAGCACTGGGTTGCACCTCAAGGAAGAAAACACCAACCTCAATCCAAATTTGCCTTGACAAAGACCAGATGGCCCAAGAAAGCCCCAAAATTGCCAAAACTCATAGAGGAACCCCGCCTTCCAAATGCTTTCCATGTGTCTATAAGACACAAGCCTCCCCTGGCCCAAGGTGTGCATGTCCCAGCTTTCTCTGAGCAAATTAGGCAATGAAACAGCAATGAGATGTGCTGAGCCACAGACAGGGGAAAAAAAAAGCCCCATCAAAGCCAGGGTTTGCTTAGAGTTCGGGACCCTGTACTGAGCTGGTGTGAATGGGTGCAGCTGCAGTGATGTGGTGCTGGGATGTGCTCACTCACACCTGCAGAGGTTGGAGCTTGTGATTTGGTTCAAGAAGTCTTGCAATCGATTCGCAGTAGCCCTTTGGAGGTAACGCTCCCCTGCTCAGCACTGAATCGCTCCCAAGAGTTGATATGAGTGAGGTTTGGCATTGGGCAACAGGCACTAGTTTGCTTTAAAACAAGCTACAGCATTATCGCTCTCCCTCCCGTCATCCCACCCTTCACCCTCAGAACAGAAAAGGCAAATTACAAACCCACCAGGAATAAAGGAATCAGTAAAGGAAATTATTCCCCCCACCTCGAAAGAAATTTTCAGCAAATAACTGAAAAATTATTGAAAATTCTATAAAAAGGATTTTGGAACCGGCCCCTGCTTTTCATGTTGTCTTGATGAGACTTGCATTTGATTAAAAAACTGAAAATAATAGAAAAAACCCAACCCAAACTGGGAAATTTCCTGAAATAGATAACATAAATAAATTATAAATAGGTTTCTCTTAACTACAGCTTCTCAAAAAGGAACACATGGTCTCTACCATGTACAGATATGGAACACGGTGTCCCTTTCCAGGATTTTGGGAACAGAGGATCTTAGAGAAGCATAGCCCTTGCTACAGCCCCTGCTCCCTGGCAGGACTGAGCAGGGAAGGGATGCTGCAGGGCTGGGACTGCAGAAGGACCCTTCCTCTTTTGGGACCATCATGCCATGTTCTATATCCTCATCCTAAAAAAAATGTAAAAAAACACTTAAGAATTGCAATTTTCCTCTTTGAATACCATTTCTTAAGTCATATTTTTGCTCTTACTTGCAAGTGATAAATCCCCCCAGATGAAGTCCCCAATACTAACTTGCCCTGTGCAAATGCTGTGGATGAGGTGTAGTCTGCCAGCAGTATGAAGGAGTTGGTGCAATCCCAGTTCATGCACAAGAGGTTCCTGGCCAATTCCCTTGGCTAATTAAAACAAATAACAAAGGGCCAACCTTAATCCCTCAATGCTTGTAAAATGCCCCAGAGCAAAGAAGTAAGTGTGAGGGTACCTGGTAGATACTTGGAAAGCAGCAAAGTGCCGTCTGATCCCCACCCCTTCTGGCCAATGACAAGTCAAATAAGGAAGGAAAGCGCTGTAAACCAGCAGAATCAGGATGGGTATTGTGGGTGTTGTGCATAGCTACTGGTGTTAAATCAAATCACTGAGGATAATCCTCTCTTTGGGGCAAAGAGCCAAACAACCTGGCTGGCATGGGGACCTGTGAATGCATCCTTGGGAAAGGCTCCTGTGGAATTCCCTAGGAATTCCCATCAGAGCTGAGTAAGAAATCACTGAGACAAAAGAAACCAATTTAAATCCAAGGCAATTGTCTCTTGAAAAAGATCTGGTTACCTCCTTCTGTGTAGGGTTATCTCTGGACCACCCCACATCATGGACTAAGATATCCTGGTTGGAACTTTGCTGGAATTGGGCAAACGATACTGGCTTGGCTGATGTTGGCTTCACAGTCAGCTGGGGAACAAAAGGGCTGGGGCACGTGCATGGCTGTCTGACCACCACACAAAGTACTGGAGAAACTTGATCATGTAGCTATCAAAGAGAAATAAAAATAATAATAATAATAGTAATTATAATTATAAGAGTATGCATGGAAATCAAGCTTGGAAGTGTGTGCTGAAAACATGAGGGTCTCACTCCAACAAGTGTCTTTTACACATTAGACTCCACAAATGGTCTCTTTGGTTTGATTGGGGACGTTTGCCCTTGCCTGGAGTCCCTGGAGAGCTGCCTGTACAGGTTATCCTGGTAGGCCTGCGCCACAGGCAGCGTCCTTGCCACCTTGACATCGGGGTACGAGGAGGCTTGGGTGACTCTCTCCAGGAGGTCTCCCCGGGACCCATTGGCCAGCATCCCATGGGGGCTGTAATAGTCTTCCTCTAGCAAATGGCCATTCTGTGCATTGTTGGTTTTGTTATAAAAGGCAATGTTGCTGATTGAAGAGGGCGGGCTAAAGGATTCTGGCTGGGGCAGATTGCCAGGAGATGTAGGACTAATGACAGTGTCCACTGATGACACAGCCCAGGTCCGGTTCTGTTGATGGAGATGGGGGTACTGCTGAGTCCGAGCAGTTTTATCTATGATTCCCATGAAAGGTGTGGTCCGGGAACGGGCTGGCTCGCTGGGGTAGCCCCCTTGTGTGGGTGAGACTGGAGACAGCTCATCGCACGATCTGTCGTAGGCTGGCTTGAGGGGAATCTCCATTTGCTGAATTGAAGCAGAGGGGCGAAAGTTGGGAGTCAGGTTGGAGGTGGAAGAGATGCTATTGCTGGAAGGGGAGAAGCGGAGGCCAACGCTCTGAGAGTGGAGTAGAGGCCTTGGAGTTGGTGGGTGAGGCTTGATTTCGCTGGGATTGACTGTGATGGGCCTTCTTATGAGATGAGACACATCTGGAGAGCCCAGCTGGTTGGCGGGGTGGGAAGAACGCTCCAGGTCAAGCTTTGAGTGGCACACCGGATAGTAGGAGGCGGACTGGCTTCGCCCAATCTGAGGTGTCTGGTTGTATCTCATGCCCCCTCTGTATGCTGAGGATGGTCTCTGTGGAAGGTCTTCTTTGGCCAGCCCTCCATGCTGACAGATGGCTCCAGCGCTGAGACTTGCCTGTACATGCTGCACGGGCCTGCTGTCACCCACAATGCCCCCGATGGAGCCCTGGTAGACCAGCCGGCTCTGGCTGACCCCCATGTCCCCTGATGACGACTGGTACTTGCTGGCCATCGAGTGGGCAACCTGGCTGTACGCACCTGTTGGGATGACAGTACTGGAATGGACGGCAGAGCTGGGCTGATTGCTCCTCACGATCTGTGCCTTGGCTGGCTGCAGCCTCAGCCCTGGCTGCGGCACAGCCACGGGGAGCTGGGGCATCTGGAAGGATCTCTGCGTCATCTTGGATAGCGGAGACTTGGGTCTGCTGGGGAGCTGGGTGACCCCACTGGGTTCCTGCTGGTAGCGGACTGGGGAGCCGGACTGGGACCGATAAACGCTCATGCTCTCTGCGGGGGGACTGGCACGGTACTGCGGGCCTCTGCGAAGGGGAGATGGTGGCGGGCTCTGATACTCCTTCCCTTGGCTTCCGACAGGAGGGGGGCTGAAGCGGTAAGTGGAGCCCTGGTGAGCTGGGGATGTGTGTGGAGGACTGGGTCTGTAATGTGAGTTTTGGTGTGTCGGAGACAGAGCAGGAGATGTGGACTGGTACCCCTGCCTGGTCGGTGAACCCACAGAGCTGTTGGACCTGAAATCAAAGACTTGATGAGAGCTGAGAGGTGAGCCAGAAATATAGGCTGAATCCCTGTGAGCTGGAGATGGGGGTGGGCTCTGGATGATGGGCAGCCCTTGGTTTGGCCTGGACTCTGTCTGCAAGCCAATGGAAACATTTTCTACATCCTGCTCAAGGTATTCCTCCTCAAAGATATCTTGCACAGTATACAGCTCTTCATGCTGGGCTTCAGGTTCTGGCTCCACCGGGAGTGGCGATGGTGGCTGCTGCTGCTGCTGCTGCTGCTGCTGCTGCTGCTGCTGCTGCTGCTGCTGCTGCTGCTGCTGCTGCTGCTGCTGCTGCTGCTGCTGCTGCTGCACCTGCCTGCACTCCTCCTCCACACGCATCAGCAGCCGCTGGATCTCACGGTTGTTAGGACACAGTTTGATGGCCTCATTCAGGTCCTCCAGGGCTGCTGAAAACTGCCTGCTTGACAAAGGAACAGAAATGAGATCTGAAAGTACTCTGGATTTGGATGGAGCTGTTTTCAGAGATTCCAGGGCAATAAAGTGGCTTGTGCATGTTACTGAGGGGGAGATTTGTGATTGCTACTGCTTGCTGCACTTCTCACACGCTGCCTTATGGACCTCCCTTGGATTTATGTTATCCAAACAGAGGGAAAATTCTGGAGACAAAGGGAACAGAGTCCTGAGATGGCACAACCCACAATAGCAAACATGCCTGCCTCTGCAGCTTACGTTAGGGGCTAATTAATTACTCCCTCCAGCATCACCATGAGCTTCACCTCTGTTTTAGCGAAGGGGACACCAACACATTGATCACTGCAAACCCAGCTCACCTCTGCTGTAAACAAGCTCTGACAGAGCTACAGCCACTTACACCACTGAAAATTTAACTTCTGCCTGATGCCAAGACCACACAGCGTCAGGCCTGGCTTCAGAGCTCAGGGGCTCCCACAGGTCAGTGCTCTGGGCAAGGCTTGTCTCTCCAGTTGTGCAGTGGATTTGGCTAACTTCTTTGGAATGAAGCAATCAAGCAATGTGCCAGAGGCTGTGAGCCCAGGGAAGCCTTTGTGAGGGAAAGGCCAGTCTAGGAGGTGTAACAGGGAGGTGGGGCTTTGGGAAGGGAGTTTTCATTAATAGGGTCACTGTTCACTCTGGAGCAAAACTATGTGTTTGAACATGACTGTGATCTGGGGAAACCCACCCAGATGGGGGAAAAAGTCCCCATCTGTGATTCTCCCCCCAGCACCTCCCATCACTGGCTTAATTTTTTGTACAAGCCATCAAAGATCAGGTGGAATAAGAAAAGGCCTCCTTCTCTACCAGCGTGACTTCAGGGTGTTGCTGAGCATAGACTGGGACAGGGAGAAGCAAAGCCCAAGTGGTGACAGTTTCTGTTGGAGAGACCCAAGGAGAAAAGGACACTGGTATGTGGGAGACTGATATCATCTGGAGAGGAACATAGGTCTTAAGGTTCCTCTTAATGTTTTGGGAACAATGGAGAGGAGACTATTAAAGGAAAGGCATGAGGTGTGTGTACAGCCCAGCTCCTCCTCTGTGGAACAGAACGTTATGGCTTCGCCTTCCACATCAGGACCTGCTGGACCTGCACCAGCTGGGCCAGGGGCCCAGCTCCACCCTTTCCTCCAGCATGGAATGTCACACACTGGTGGTATCTGCTGAGCTGGGATGTTTGCACAGAGGGGCTCACATATCTGCACTGCAACGTGAGATATTCTGGCTGCAAATTAAAGAGATGCAGTGGCAGGGTGCCCATTCCTTGTGAAGAAGAATTCCCAAGGAGCCCTGATGCTCATTAGGAATGACAAATGGATCTAATCTCACATCTCTTAGCCTTCAGGGAGGTAGGTGAACAGGTAGGTCTCCAGGAGCTGGTTGTAGTGCCCTGGGCACAAGTTCTGGCTGGAGGCTCCTTGGACAGTGCCTGCCTGCAGCCACTGCTCAGCTGGTAAGCAGCATCTGCTGGGCAGACACAGGATAGAGATGCACAGATTTTAAGGCTAGAGGAGACCACTGTGATGAATGTGTCTTCCCTCTTACACAACAAAGGCCAGAGTCACATTCTGCTTTGAGTCCAAGCTGTGGTCAAATTAAGTGTACTTTGAAAAAGAACACCCCACTTTGGTGCACAGTGTTATAAGAAGTCCAGGCAAAGTTCCACTGAGACAAACCTCTCAAAACATTTGGACTCAGAAATCACCAAATGAGGGAGGGCATTACTTTGGAGTTCAGGAAGTTTGTGATCTCATTAATGAATGTTCCTTGTCCATTTCCTCCCGCGGGGGCACTGCCTGGCTTTGCAGAGTGGGTGCCCACACTTGATGTGACAAGCTTGCAGAGCCTGGCCCCCTCACACCCTTCTTTCTGTCCCTCCTCACCTGCTGCTGCGTTTGGCCCTTGCTCTTGCATAGTAAGCTTCGTAAGATTTCGGTTTCAGCTCCAGTGCTTTAGTGGCAAATTCTTCTGCCATTCCAAAATCCTGTCATTTGAATAGGTGCGCAGGTAAGTGACTGAATAAATTTATAAATAAAAATACATACAGCATGGGAATAAAAACAACTTAGTATGGATTTTCTTTTTGTATTTCATGGAAAACTTAATGGTATTGGAATATTTCACGTGGATTCAATGTCATTTACAGACAGGGAGCTATGATGGCATTTCCAAAGACTCAGGCATGGTTAACGCAAGTTGCTGTCATCACCCACAGAGGCCAGCAAGTCTCACTGTGTCCCCAACACATGCATGTAAATCTCTCTCTAACAACCTACAGTCTTGAGGAAACATACGGACTTGCAGAGGCTGGAATGTTATCTCATGAACAATTTTTTTCCATAGTTGAAAGCAATAGGAAACCTTTCCCATGCCCTTCTGCTTCCCTGAACACACTGATATTCTTCAAGGGGCTGAAGAAAATTGCCTGTGAAGGACAGAGCTACATTAGCTGCCAACAGGACCTGCCTGGCAAAGGCCTATCAATACCACTGTTCCTCACTTGTTCATGACAGCTCACCTGGGGGGATAGTTTGAGAGCAGGGAGAGGGTGACAGTGTGGGATGGGGCTGCTCTGGGTACTTTCCAGGGGCAGTGCCATGAGAGCAGATTATCAGCTCTGGTTTAGACCCTGTCACCACCCTCCCTTGTCTTATCCTGAATGCTTTGTGTCCCACTAAGCTCAGCTGAAGCTAAGCACTTGTGAAGGAGAACTCCTCCTAGTGGAGAGGATTCCATTTTGCAACCAAACACTACTTTGGATTGCTGCACTGGGCTATGACCTGAGCAGCTCTGGGAGAAAGGAGTGAATAGTGCTGCTCCTGATTTGTTCAAAAACTTGTGAAGCCAACGTTTGCTTTGGGCATGCCCTGCCTGGGGAAGCTTAAACTTCTGTTTGTACCTGCAGTAGCAGTTACTGAGGAGTTACTGTCCAACAAACTGAATTGGGAATGCAGTCATGAGACAGGTACCTATATGGTCTCATCTATAGGTGCAAAACCTGCAAGAGCAAATACAACCCTCTAAAATTTTCTATTACAAAACCTGCCATTCCCCAGTCAATGATAAACCAAAAATCTTGTCCTCAAAGCACAGTACAAGGGATGGAGCTGATTAGCTGTGAACTGTCTGATTTAAAGAGAAGGTTCACACTTTTTCTCCAAACTGTGTTTGTTCACCAGCATTAAGATATTATTCCCCTGGTTTTCAATCTTTCTTCCTCATAGAAAAAGAAGTGAAAGCGTCCCAAAAGCTCCTTCCCCTCCAAAAGTGTAACTTTTGCTGACTCACGACCTCAGCGATGTCACTTTTTGAGTTTATGCAGACTTCAGTTTTCGGAAGTGAAAGCCCCTGCACTCCAAGCCAGGGAAGGCTGGCAGAACAGGCATCTATCTGCACGAGCTGGTTGCTGGATGCTGCCAGATTGTAGTGGGGAGAGTGACAGGGATCTGGAAGTTCTGGGACGAGAGGGAGTCTTGTGGAGGTGTTTCTAAATGAGTCACTGCCCTGGGGAAGTGCTAACCTAACCCCCTAAGCATATGCTCCTTCATTTGAAATTAATTAGTATTCAGAGAAGCACATCTCCTGGCTCCTCCTCACTGTTGCCCCAGAAATCTGGAAAATGCCTCCACCCCCATGCGATGATGTGAACATCATCATCAAAAGGGAGTAATAAAAAATTCAAAGAGCTATAAACATAGCAATGAATTTTTAATCATCTGAAACGCATACTAAATCACTACTGCTTTGGAATTATAAAATATCAGTGCTCTGTGAAGGACAACCAGGTTACAGAGAGATCTGAGAGGCTAAAGCACGATTGGGGTGGACATGCCTCTGCAGAGGCACCGAGCTGTGGCATTGTGCTTAAGGCCATGAAAAGAGGGGACACTTACATTCATTTTCCGTCGACACCGGGAGAGGTTGAGAAGCAGCGACACCTTCAGCTCACGGAAGGTTTTCAGGTCTTCTCCAAACCCTTCTCTGGGGAATTTTTTCAGAGCATACTGGTAGCGCTGGGCAGCCTCTTTCACTTTACCTTTCTGTTAAAAGGAAAACACGTCAAAACTCCTTGGGTTGGGTTTACTTCCTGGCAGAGAATTCACTCATCAGCCCCACCAATGTTTTAAGTGTCTAAGGAAATGAAACCTCACTACTTAGCTCTTTCTTAGAAAGGAAGGGCAGAACATTTGATCAAAGGAACATCTGAGCTGGAAAGGCAGATGCCTTGCACAAGCTGAGATCTCCCACTTCATACAGAGCTGTCACATTACAGCAGGAAACATGGAGAAATAGTGTTAACTCGATACAACTCCATCTGGCTCTTGGCTTGATGGTCTTTTGAGCTGGGTGATCAGTTACCCATTCCTGGAAAACACCCTCCACCCAAAGCTTAATAGACATCCCAGGAGGGTAAGGAACACAAATTGTGGGACTTTGGGTGGAGTTCTGGGGCTCAGAGGGCAATAGCAAAGATTAATGTTACAGCACTGCCCTGGCTCTGAACTTGGACAAACAGGATGAGATTCACCTCCCTGGACATCAGATGTTTAAAACTCTACATCTGAGTCTTTTAACTGGGTTCCATTTATAATTATTGGCATACAGCAGTCACATTCAAAGGTGTCTCATCTCTGCTATTTTTGGCAACTAATTTTGGGATGGGACGATGTGTAACCTGAAGGGGGGCAGCTGACAGGCAGGGTGAGAGAACGAGGGCAGGATGGGATCTAGGACACAAACAGTTCCTCATGACCGAGACATAAAAATTTTGCAGCTACAAATAGTGAGTTTTAAAAACTTGTAGATTCAGGTTTCTCAGCTGTATCATGTTTCTCTGGCAGGTAACTCCTATTACAATGCCAGCTTTGTGTATTTTTTGCTTCACCCTTAGAGCCTCACAGTGAAATAACTGTTGTACTTCACATTTTGTAAGTGTGTGTAAATCCCCAGGTTTTAAAGATTGGCTTAAAACAAACAGAAAGGAAAAAAAAGACTCCCTAACTGTAACAGTGGAATGTCTCCCATGCGCTAAAGGACATGACAAAGCCAGCTGTGTCCTCACAATCTCTTTTCACTGCAAGAAGTTTATTCCAGGAGTCTTTCTGGGATATTCTATCCTGTTGCTGCGTTCCCCCAGCAGTGAGCCCACTAGGTAGTGACAAGGCTGCCAGACCTGATGCAGTGGCAGAAGCACTCCCAGCAAACACTTAGGTCCTGCTGTTTTCAATGAGGAAATGAAGTGCTGGCTCAAATCCAGAGTAATTTGGCTTTGTTTCAGCTTTGTTGCAGGTTTGTTGAATCAATCCCCTCTTCTCCAACCCCACTAACCAAAACCAAATGGTTTAGAACACAAGGAACTCTGTGAGCAGGAGCTTTTATATGCCATGGGTTAAGGCACCAGCATTAGAATCACAGAACCATTTAGGCTGGGGAGGACCAAGCACTGACTGAACACAGCCAAAACTTCACACCAAGTGATGCTGCAAGCTGCACCTGTTCCATGTTCCAAACCCACCCATCTCACCTTATAAAACATGTCTCCCTCCTCCATCAGCTTGCTCAACAGGATGATCATGATGTCTGGTTTGGAGGTTGCCATTGCCCAAGTTGCTGGACCTGTAGTGTACAGGATGCATGATGGGTAAAGAACTCATACAATGCAAGGGTGGTAGGAAGCTGGGCGGAAAAAAATACCCTGGGGTGGGAATTTCTGCTGGAGAGAACAACTTGGCATGGTCAAAGGGCAGAGTGCTCAAAGGAATGAGCTGACAATTCCTCTGACACTTAAATTAGCATAATCCCCACTGTAATGGTTTTCCTTTGCAGTCATTAAGGATAGTCCCAATGGTCTGGGAAAGGATGGAGCCGTTTCCACAAGAGGGCAGTGCTGAATGTGGAACAGGCTGGGATGGGGGAAACAAACTGTAGTTAAAGGAAAAATCAGAGTAGTTACATAAAAGCGTTTCTAAATTCAAATCTATGGAAGTCTACTAGGGAATCTTCAGTTTCACTGTTGATAGGTGGTTTGTGGTTAAGTGGATTGTGATTTCCAGCTTCACAAGATGTGAAAGACTAGAGTAGAAAATCCCTTAAGGCAGAAAAAATTACAAAGGAAAGGTCGTATATAAGTGCTACTGGTGCCAAAGGTGTCATTGGGCTGGGGACACTGGCTCTGCACAGGGGCCACCCTGCAGACCCAGCTCTTGTCTACTGGGAGGGAAGGGGTGGCAAAAATTTGAGGACAGCTTATTAGTGTGGGTGAAGAATAAGTCAAACAATATTCTATAAGTAGATTCAGTACGTTTTGGGGGAAGGAGGTTAGTTTTTGAGTTCAAGTTATTCTCTGCAACAGTCATTAAAAAAATTATTTGAAGGTGAGGTAAATTAAAAGATTAGAGGTGTTGGGAACGCATGCAGGCTAAATCAAACAGGAGAAAGCAAGGCTGACAAAGCTATCAGATCGAAGCTGATGCTGACAGCAATGAGATATACCTCGTGGGCGACTCGGTAACGTCTGACAACCTTCAAAGAAAGGAGAAAACAAGAAGTTGTAGGAGAGAGGGGGAAAAAAAATGGATGAAGGTGAAAAAAAAAAAAAAAAAGGAAAAAAGCAGCCGTGAGAGGCAGGCAGCGAGGAAGCCAATGCACCAGCAAAATCCCCTTTCACAGGAAAACGTAACGTGAGCAGCTGTGTGGTGCAGTGCAGGTACACTGAGATCTGGAAGCATACACAGAGCAAGTGAACGCAGCAGCTCACAGCGAGGCATGGACAGAGTACACTTGGCAACTCAGACTATTAAAGATAGAAAAAGCATTACCAGAGGAAAGACCTTGCCAAAGAAACAATTGTTTATTGATTAACTTTAGCTAAGTAATATGACAGGAAAAAAAATAAACTCCCCATTTTACTAAAGAGGACCAAGTAGTCCTGACTTGCCATCTGCTTCAGAGTGTGAAGCAGTGGCTGGGGCTGAGGCTGCCTCTGGGTTATACTTGTATTTTTTAGGATGCCAGCCCCACTGCTTGAGTCCTGCCTGAGCACAGAACCAATGGCAGTGTCCCCCTGCTCCTACCTATCTTTGCTCCTTTCTTCAGGAGGGTGACGACAACTGAGGTGTTGCGGCAGCCCACTGCTCTGTCGAGGGGCCGCATCCCACTGTAGTCAACGTGCTCGATCATGGCCCCATGGTCCACCAGGAACTGAACCTGCAATGAGAATGCAAATAGTCAGTTCTGTTCCTGGGTGAGACCCCATACACTGTTGGGAATGTAGGATCAGCAGAAGCTTGTTCTTCTCCACTGTCTGGGCTAAAAGCACCTCCATGGGGTCTGAGGGTACACTGTGGGTAGCAGGTCAAGGGAAGGGATTCTGTCCCTCTACTCCATTCTGGTCTTTGGTGGGACTGGAGGGCTGTGTCCAGCTCTGGGGTCCCAAGCACAGGAAGGACATCAACCTGTTGGAGCAAGTCCAAAGAAGGTCATGGAGATGCTCCAAAGGCTAGAGCGCCTCTGTTAAGGAGGCTGGGAGAATTGGGATTATTCAGTCTGCCTAAAGGGGCTCTAAGGTTGGAGGGACTTTAGACAAGGGCCTGGAATGACAGAACAAGGGGGAATGGCTTTAAATTGAAAAAAAAAGTAGGTTTTGACTGGATATTAGGAAGAAATCCTTCCTGCAATGGCAGTGAGGCCCTGACACAGGGTGCCCAGAGAAGTTGTGGCTGCCCCATTCCTTAAAGTGTTCAAGGCCAGGTTGGAAAGTGCTTGGAGCAATCTGGGATACTGGAAAGTGTCTCTGCCCATGTCACAGGGTGGAATGAGTCAGTACTTAAGCTCCCTTCCAACTCAAACTCTTCTGGGATTTCCTGATCAGCTTCTGTGGAAGCACCTTCCCATACGGAGGGCCAGGACTCCATGTGTTTATTGCTACATCAAGCGGAACTGTATGATTTTACGACTTTTACACCAACTACCCATTTTCTCTGGGTGTACCACAGGCCACTCACCACCTCAGCATCGCCGTAGAACGCTGCCAGGTCCAGTGGCGTGCGGCCATTCTTGTCTGCATGGTCTGTGGCAGCTCCGTTCTCCACCAGGGAACGCACCACGGGCAGGTGGCCCTTCAGGCAGGCCCAGCTCAGGGCTGTCAAGCCCTCTTTGTCCATCAGAGAAATGGAGGCACCTGAAAGAACAAGCAGCAGTTCACTTCAGAGCTCTCCCTTGTTTAACACTGTTTACCACAAACCCTCTGCTCAGCAATGACATTTTGTTTTCACAGAACTCTGTACATAATTATTAATTCCTTTATTAACATTTCTCCCACCACAGATCCCATCTCTGTGGCAACTTCAAATACACTGATGGGAACTGTGGAAGCAAATGAGTTGATTCACACCAAGCTGCAAACTTTTTCACGCATACCTCTGAGGGCTTTCCTGGCAAACATCTGAGCAGCACGGTGGATTTGACTTCCCTCATCTGAGATATCATCTTTTTAACTACTTTTTTTTTTTTTACTTAATCCAAGAAGATTCCAGCCTGTGTGAGTCAGAGATTAAGACCATTTTGCTGTTTTGGCAGGTCACCATGGGAAATTAAGTCAATTCAGCTCAGTTCTTCTAAAAAAGCATGTATTTTCCCTTCTTCACTTCCCTCCCCTTTACCCAAAAGCACACAATTTCCAGCAGTACCTCTCCCTGAACATTACCCAGTATAAATACAACATTGTGGGATACACTACTGCCAACCGTAAGCCAAGGAGAGGGGGACTTGACATTTTCTTGGACGAGGAAATGGTGCTGCCATACCAACGGGTCAGTACTGCTCCACACGGCATATGGATATGGATATGAGAGCTGAACAGCAGCTTTAAGTGAACACTCCTCCTCATGGCATGAAGAAAACTCCTGTTGCCATGGCAGGGCGATGGCTCTGGCTCTGGAGTGTGCAGAGATGATCTGTATCAGCTTTGCTCCTCCGAGGAGCTGCAGCTGCAGCAGGAGGGATACTCCTTCCAGCAGCTGGGATGAATTGATGCTGCAGTGCTCTTCTCCTGGAGGCAAACTCTAAGCCTCCCAGCATGAGATTCCCTGCCTCTAGAATGTCCACCAAACGTGGGAGTGATGTGAATTTCCTAAACGTTCCCGTTCATCCCAGCTGACACATCCCTGGTCTACACAGGTTGCTTAGCTGAGAGCAGACTAAGTTCTCCCTGCTGGCACAACCTATTTGTGAGGGAGTACAGCACAGAAATGTTTGCTCCGGGTGTGTTCAGAAACCTCCAGTCAGAGCTTTCAACACAGTGTGGAATGTCAGTGGGGGAGGAGGCAAACAGCATCTCAGGCAATCAGGAATGCCAAGGTGGGACATGGGCTGTGAGATACAGGCTCAGGGATGACAATGTAGAATCACACTCATCTAGGTTGGAAAAGACCTGTAATATCATTGAATCCAACTGCTCCCTCAGCACTGCCAAGCCCTCCACTAACCGTGTCTCCAAGTGCCACGTCTTTTAATCCTTTAAATCCCTCCAGGGATGGGGACTCCACAACTGCCCTCAGCAGCCTCTGTCAGCACTGAACAACCCTTTCAGTGAAATAATTATCTCTCCCCTAAAGCTCCCCTAGAGCAACTTGAGACTCTTTCCTCTAGTCCCTTGTTCTTTGGGAGCAGAGTCTGACCTCCATCTGGCTGCCCGCTCCTGTCAGGGATTTGTGCAGAGCCAGAATGTCCCCACTAAGCCTCCTTTTCTCCAGGCTGAGCCCCCTTCCCAGCTCCCTCAGCCACTTACTGTGCTCCAGACCCTTCCCCACCTCTGCTCTCTTCTTTGGACACACTCCAGCTCCTCAACACATTGTCAGTCTTTTCTCATATTGCCCACACTGCACCCAGGAACCTTCACATTCTGAAGCTGTGGGAAAGCCCCTCTAGATGATCCTGAGCTGACCCAAGCCCAAATTTTGCTCAGGATGAAGCCTCATTTAATTCCTGCTTACTCGAACCAGTTACTTTCTTGCATTCAAAGCATCAACATCTTCTCTTGTGTTTTCCCTCTTAACTCTTCTGGAGCAGGTGAGAAAGCTCCTGCAATAGGAGGGAAGCCTGGAAAGCCATGTCATTCTTCAAATTTCCCACTCATTTCCCATCCAGTGGGAGAGACCATACCACAGGGTGACATGGACAGACTCCAGCAGCAGTGCCAGCTGAAGGTCTAAGCAAGCAAACAACAGTAATGCCAAGAGGCTGGCTTGAAGGCAGGCTGGGCATAACCTCCGTGGAAACAGTCAGCTCCAGAGACAGCTCTGGCTCCCAATACAGCCTCTGCTTGACTCCAAAGGTATCCTACATCCTTCAGGCCTCTCTGACCTATTTAGCATTGAGGCAGTCAGACAGGAAAACAAACAAAAGGTTTTGAGGGCAAGTGGCTTAAGGTGATCTCATGGGACTGATCTATCCTCCAGCAGGAAGGATTTAATCTGGGTAAGCCCAATTTGCTTCTGGGAAGGGCTGGGCTGCTCCCTCCCTAAAAAAAAAATTGACTTCAGGAGTTTCTTATGGAATGGCTTGGGTTGAAATGGACTTTAAATACCATCCAGTCCCACCTCCTGCCATGGGAAGGAACACCTTCCACTACACCAGGGTGCTCCAAGCCCTGTCCAACCCGGCCTTGGACATTGCCAGGAATGAGACAGTCACAGCTTCTCTGGGCAGTCTGTGCCAGGGCCTCACCACTCTAATCATAAAAAAATTCTTGTTCCATCTAGTCTGGTGATTTAATTATCCAGAAGGCACTATGAGCCAGGTCAAGTCAAAAAGAAAAGATTGACATTTGGAGCATCTAAAAACTGCAGGGAGTGGCCAGGATGTGGGATGTGTTCTGAACAGAGGATGCACCCAAAGCTGCAGTGCCCAGGCAGGCAGGGTGACCCCCCAAGGCATGATGCTCAGGTAGAAAAACATCAAGGGATTGATTTTTACAGGAAAATGAGATTCAGAATCGAACTCCTGCCAAATGGAATGAGCATGAGGAATTATTTTGCTTTGTGTCATGCAGATCTGTGAAAATACCAGCTTTGGCAGAGCTATTACCAGGAAGTTTAATTCTCTGTTCACACACACATTATTTCTGGGTGCTCAGCCACAGGTAACCCCAAAATTCTGGGTTTCAAATAGATTGCTGACTGCAACTTTGCTAATAAAATGTGTTTACAAACAGTGACTGTGTTAATCAAGTACAGTCAAATGAGATTTGCTTTGCAACACATTAACTAATGCTTATGGCTTGTGATTCACACACTTTGGTTTTAATCAAACATTGAACAGGATTGTCAATTCCATTTTAATTAAATGCACCATATATCACTGTACTCTGCTCAGGCTTCAGTTAACTTTTTAGGACCATGTGTTACAGTGTATGCAGTGGAGTTTATTAAGCTATTTAGAGAATGGACCTTTTAAGGTAAAAATTTTCTTATTTTTGACTTTTTTTGCTCTCAGTATCCAAAGAGCCAGAGAAACATTAGGTGCATTTGCTGGTGATCTCACTGCCCAGATCAACTTATCTGGTATTTTCAGCCTCCTCTGAACGAGTTAGTCTCAAGCAGCATGTACAGCTCACAGGTCTGGGAAAAATACCCAAACCCTTATTTTAAGTTTTTTAACACAGATTCATTAGTCAAGCTACAAAAGGGGACACGTTTCATCTCAAAGATGGAGAGTGCTAATTTGAGATTAAAAAATTACAGAAGACCAGAAAAGAATTAATTTAATCAGTTCCTAAGAAGCTCAAACTGATCTTTGTCACATCCCTGTGCAGGTTACAGCACTGAGCAGCAAGGATCCCACTGGCTGTGGCTCAGGACAGACAGATGGGCAATAAGAAACCTGTCCTTGTCAATTTAAATTGAAAAAATGTTCTTAACAACTATTACGTAAAATATTCAAGTGTCTCACTTTTCGGCTAAAAGGTCAGACACAGGCAGTTACAAGATGAAGAAAATATCCCTTCCCAAAGAGGGATCTTTCCTGGAATAAAAATATCAAATAAAAACACAACAATTAAATGCTTTCTCTAAAAAAAAACCCAAAAATTAAATATCCAACCAAACCAACATTGGCTATTTGTCCAAAATAAAAGGCAAAGAAGTCTCTGAGGAACTGCAGCAATAAGAACTGATGGTGTTCTCACCAGCAGCAAATTGTTCTAACTCATCTCAATCAGGTACAGCAGGAATGAGCAAAACTGGCCCATGTTCCTGCTGGCTGAGCAACTGTCACTGAAGGAGAGTCATCACTGAAATGACTGAGCACAGAGGAGGCTGTGGGTGCAGAGGAGGCTTATCTTCAAAATAATTCTGATTTATTTTCAGCAAGTTTACCAAATCCTTGCCTGTTCTGTTCTGGGGCCTTACCATCCTGCTGGTGCTGGTGTCAAAAATGTGGGCAACAATAAGAGAGCTAAAAATGGAAACGTCACCACGTGTCCCCAGTCTCGCCTTGCTGCCCTTCTGCAGCGGTGCCAACAGTTCAGCCACATCCTGTGTTCATTTCTGTCTAAGGGGAAAATTTTTCAGTGTGGTTCAAGGGCACATTCTTAACCCACTGCTCAAAGGATCTGTGGTTATTTGTTAACTCAGATGGGTGGTTTTGAGTCTAAGAGCACCAAGCAGACAACAAAACAGACAGCCAAGATTAAGGCTATGACTATTCCAGCCTTGCTGTCCAATGAGCTGGACATGGTGCTCTCCCAGCTGTGGGATTACAATCCACACCCTGATATCACAAACTCCAGATGAGCTGGAGCTGGTGTGGTGGGATGTACCACAGCTGGTCCCCAACACGAGCTCTAACCTTGTGCAAGCAGAAACTCCACTGTGCCCAGGTGTCCCTCGGACGCGGCCATCATCAGCGGTGTGCGGCCCTGCTTGTCTGCCATGTTCACGTCAGCCCCGTGCGTGAGCAGGAGATCCACGATCTGCAACACACAATGCCAGGACCCAGATTACACGTGCAGACACAGCCAAGAAGATGCCAGAGCCAAGGAAGAGCAGAGCAGACCCCACATTCTAAAAACTCCCACCCCTCCAGGCAAGGTGCTCTCTGGGATTGCTGAATGGATTATTAAGGATTATTAAAAGGAAGGGATATATATATATATATATATATATATATATGAGAATCCCATTCCCTGGAACTGTTCAAGGCCACTCTGGATGGGAGAAATCTGGGATAGTAGAAGGTATCCCTGCCCATGGCAGGGGGATGGAATTCGATGGTCTCTTAAGATGTCTTCCAACCCAAACCATTCCATGATTCTATGATAACAAGGGACTTAAGCAAAGCTGTCTGTAGCCAGCCAGAGCTTGGGGTGATAGAAGCATCAGTAACACTTCTTTTTGCTCTGGCCATTCCCCAAAAGAGCTGGGGCTTGTTTTTTCCACGCCTATTCCAGCAAGACAGAAGGGATGGCCTGACCCACCATCTCCAGCCACCCCAGGGTGTGAGGACCCCACTGACCTGCCAGTGGCCCTGTCTGACGGCGCTGAAGAGCGGGACAACTCCGCGGCGGTTGGGCTGCGCCACTGCGGCTCCCTGCTCCAGGAGCAGCCTGCACACCTCCAGCTTCCCGCGCCCCGCCGCCGCCGTCAGAGCTACACGAGAGAGGAAAGCAGTCAGGGGAAGAGCCACATGCTCAGTGGAGTGTTCTCCTATCTGGAAACGGGCCTTTCTTCTGGATACCAAAGTGATGGGGCCTGAAATGCCAAACTTGTCTCATGGCAGGCAAAATGAACAAAGAAAATGGGCTGGATTGGTACACTTTCAACTCTTGTCATTTTAGTTCCCTCAAAGGTCAACTCTTCCATGAAAAGTTTACATAATGTCATGGAATAAGGTTGTTTGATGGTTTTCTGCAAGTCACACTGAAATGGGATGAGAACCCCAATAAGTATAAAATAATCTAAAGGCATTTGTGACTGAGGTTCAAGGGGTGTCTGAGGTTCAAATGTGACTGAAGTTCAGGTTTAGCTGCAAAGAAATGCAATCATGAATCTGTTACTCTTTTCCCCACTGCCAAAGCCATAGGCTGTGAGGCCAAATGTATCTGAGTAGGGGGACAATATCCAGAGAAAATACAGGTCTTCAGGCACATGACAAGACCTTCTGCAACCTGTCATTGCCTCAGCCCACCAGGACTACAAGGGAGCAAGTGGGGGATCAAGCAGGAGGTACTGACAGACCCCGCCAGCCACTGATGTCAGTCACATTTGCGGCTTTCTTTTGTCCAAACAAGCACAGAGCAGTGAGATCCAGATAAACAACTTCTATTTTCCATATCCCACTTTAGCCTGTAGATCTTTGAAACCAGGGAAGCAACTGGAAAGCAAAATAGGATGGATTTGTTCACCTGTTTTCCAAGAAAAACACTATTTCTGGGCTTTGTTTCTGGCCAGGGCTGATCCTACCAGCCAGGATCTTTGTGCAAACCCAAAAATATCTCTCATTTTCATATGCTCATGATATTACAGGTGGGTAGAAGCAACATCTGAGAGTTCCTTCTCTGACAAAATGTGCTCTGTTAACTCAGAGGTGTGGTTGAGTTAGAGAACACGTATTCAATCTGAAAATAGTTCCAAGTTCAGGACCTGCCAGTGACTTATTTCAGCATTAATTTTAGACTTTCTGGTTCCTCCCTCTCCCTAACTTTCTGTGCACTTCAACACAGCTCCACTGGCTCCACGCTCTGCTGCTTCTGGTAGGAGTTGGAGCAGAAGGTGGGAGTCTATTTCTGACTGATGTCGCTTGTTTTTTCTTTGCAGTACATTTCTGTGGGTTGGCTGATTACAAGGTGTTGATGGGTTTCCAACTGCAACACTGTTAATGTTGGGGGATTTAATTAATTCCCAATTCTCTTCCATATTATGGCTGAATTTTCTTCTCTTGGGGTTGAGAGACAACAAGAGTTAAAAGAAAAATCACTTTGCTGCCACAAGCAGAACATTCTGCAAAATCTATAATCAGATCCATGTGGGTTTTAAATGTAAGCTACAAATATAGAAGGAGGCAGAAGGATGGGCATGCAGGACTGCTGGGTTCTACTTCTAAACCTGCCTCCACTTGCAATGCTGCAGGTTAATTTGAGGTATTTTACATCAAAATTACTTATGTTTGCAACAATGAAAACATAAATCACTCCAGTGTCTGGTGTTTGTTAAGAAATGTTCTTTGGAGAAGACTTTACCGAAACAGGATAATTTGATTCACAATTTCTCCACTTTCTCTTGCAATCCCTTCTGCCTGCAGTGACACATCTTTCTGCTTTCCTCGGGGTCCAAGGAACTGGTGGGTACACGGCTCCAGCCTGTCCTTTGCAGCTCCAGCTCAAGGGAAGCTCCTCTGCTATTGAGCAGCCAGACCTTGTTCCTCCAGGAGGAACTAAGGAGGATGAAAATGGGCTGGTTTGAAGTTCTACTATCTGCTGGAGAGCTCCCACGGCCCAGCACAACCAAGGCAAGTTCATGGAGCCCAGCCAAGGAGCAGCAACCAGGATCTTGCACTGGTAAACAGGAATTTTTGTACATTTTGCAGCTTTTCCATGAGGATGTGCCAGAAGGACTACTCACCATGCAATAACCAAGTCTTGGCATAAACACCATACAACAACTGCTGTGTTTCTCAAAACAGCTCAAACACAGCCTGAGACTGGGTTCAAGTCTGGATGTGCCCATCTCCGTCAGTGAGCAATGTCAAATTATGGCCTCCTACACCAGGGACCTGCAACAGCGTATTCTGCTTCTGCTGCTGTGTTTTCTTGTAGAAAAAACAACTTTACCTGGAGAAGGAATCATTAAACTGCCCCTATCCAGCACGAGTGTCTGTTTCATGGCCTGGCAGCAAGACAAACAGTTTGATAGAGATGTTTTCTGCACCTCCAACTCTGATGGAGATAGCATAAGTGACTCAGACACTTTTCTGCCGGGTTCTGATGTTAGTTTTGTCCCGGGGGAAATACTCCATCTGGAGTTGGCTTATAGTGTGCTGTCAGCAATTCCTAAACTTATGATGTCACTTGGCACTGCCATTTGGATGATATCAGGCTGATACCATCGAGCCAGGCACTCGGCTCTGCTCTGTGGAAGATGAGATATGAGCAACAAGTGTCAAAACCCAGACAAGCCAATATTCAAATTTCAGAGCAAACTGCTATTTTTAGGTGGAAACCTGCATTTCTTTCCAAATTTATTTAAACTCTCTATTTACTTTTGGGAAAATAGTAATAGTAATAGTTATATGAAAGTCTTGAGTTTCATATGAACTTACTGACTTGTTTCATGTGCACAAAAGGCTTCTCAGTTTGGTGGTTGGCTCATTTTTACACATTTTCCCATCTTACCTACTACTAATTTTAGTGTGTAAGTGCATATTCCTTTGAGATGGCTTCCCAGTTTGTGTGTGATTTGTCAATCACAAATCCACATTCCCAATAGTCCCAGTTACTTAGAAACCCCTCTCTGACTGAGAAACTCCTGGATGTCTGGTTAGTCCAGCTTTTGGCATTTTTGAAGGCAGAGGTGTGGGACAACAGAGATGGAAACAGGCAGGCTGGGAATGTCAGAGCTACCCAGGACATGGGATGGGAAGGGAAGGGAAGGGAAGCTACAGCTTCTACAGAAATCACCTGTCTCTCCCCAAAGACTGTCAAAGCTGTTGATCTGTGCTCTCTCTACCTCCTCTTCATCTTTTTCTGGAAGATCGAGCAGGTAGGAAACGATCTAAAACAAAAAGATGTGTCAGATCATGAACTCAAATGTGTTATACAGGGACTGCAGACACCATCACATGAGCTGCTTTGGAATATACAGAGGGAAGGGAACAGTCTCTGCCTGGCACCCTGAGACCAAGGAAATAATCTTCCTGAGATTAATCACTGAACATGCTTCCCTGTACAAGCAAAAAAACCATCCAAGTGTCTTGATATGATAGCACATGATGAGATTTGGTAGAGTCAGTTCCCTGTAACTGTGTCTGTTCTGTTGGAGATGACCTGGTGTGTGCAGTGGATGCAACTCTTGGAGGATGTGAGGCTGAGAGGAGGTATTTGGTAGGAAATAAACTCATCCTCAAGGAAAGAAGAAGGAACAGGGCTGCCAGGAGTTGCTGGAGCTCTGTGGAGGGGACTAATGGCAGTGGTGGGTTGGCACAGGGTTAATGGTTGGACTCAATGGCCTTAATGGTCTTTTCCAACCTAAATTATTCTATACATCATTTTCCCCATCATAAATCTTTGTCAGGATGGCAGGAGGAAGCTCTCTGTCTCTTCTCTCTCCTGACACACAGTCCAAAGTTACATGTTCTTACACTCCCACACTCCCCACCCATGATGGAGGAGCAGTGTAGGCAACAAGTGTCCAGCCATCTTATCCCTGCTTAGAAGTTTATTCCAGAAGTTTATTCTGACATCTTAAAGGCATGTTACACTTCCTCTCCTGGATGCCTGCCCAGACCACAGGGTTTGCCAAGGGATCTGTAAACACTGGGACAGGACAGGGAGGAAGAGCAGGACATGAGTACTCTGGATTCCACCTCCAGACGTTCTTTGGTGAGTGGGCAGGAAAGGGCCAAGCCTTAGTTTCCCTCCCTGCAGAAGCAGAGTAGGTCCTACCTCAGTGTAGCCCATGCTGGCAGCGGCAATCAGGGCCTGCTGGATTGCGTGGCTCTTCTTGAACACTCCCTGCTGCTGCCCGGCCATGCTCCAGTCGCACTGGATCAAAAACTTCGCTACCTCCAAGTGTCCCCTGAGAGCAGCGTGGACCAGGGCACACTGCCCATTTTTGTCCAAATGATCCACCTTGAAAAGAGATGACAAAATACAATTAAAATCATGAGCAACACATCTCGCTTCTTCAGAGTTTCCAATCCTGAATTCAAAATAATGCCACATGTGCAAAATGTACATTTTTCTGGTAAACTATTGCTTCCATGACCAGAAAACAAACATTTCCAAAGCAAGGTCCCAGGCTCTGGCATTATCTTGGCCACAAATGTTTGCTTTGGGAAAGATATCATTACTTTTTTTTAGGTTTCTTACATTTTCTTCAGACTTAAAGACTACAAAATATCTTTTCCTTTGTGTCCTGAAGTCCAGCATCCAAATTTTCTTGTGGACTGGAATCATACACACTGGTATTGTCTCCTTTAGTAATATCTACAAAAGGAAAACCAGTTTGTTTTCCAGGTATCAGTTCTTTTGAGAGTCCCAGAAGTGCCTCAGCCTGCAGTCAGACACCGTAACGTGAACCCAGTGCAGGCACAATCAGCAGGAATCAGAAACAGTGCTTGACAGCCCTGGAGGAACTTATTTGATTGTATTATGGGGCATGGTTCCCACTTGATGCCTGAATACATCAGCTGGGATTTCTAGATACTATCCCAACAGGGATACTTGGAGAAAACAAGAAAGGCAGGTCAGTTATCACTCCCCTTCAGGTTAACCTCTTCTGTGTTCCGCACTGTACTATTTATCAGAAAAATAACAAATAATTATTATATTAACATATTTTTTCACAGAATCACAGAATGGTTTGGGTTGGAAGGGACCTTGAACACCATCTCATTCCACTCCACTGCCACAGGCAGGGACACCTCCCACTGTCCCAGGTTGCTCCAAGGTCTGTCCAAACTGGCCTTGGACACTGCCAGGGATGGTGCAGCCACAGCTGCTCTGTGCCAGGGCCTGACCTAAACTGCAGTTATATAATACATATGAGAAATATTTCATATATTATAACACATTCATATTAATCATATATCAGTATTTCTCCTTTCTCAACTCCTGCAGTAATCAGTATTGCAATTTTCTTCAAATATCTGTCTTCAAACTACACCAAACTGTGTTTTGGGCTATTTCCTCAGTACTGTTAGGGATATTCAAGGAAAAGTATGAGCGGCAGGACTTCTGTCACTAAACTCTCTAAAAATATCCAACAAAAGCAAAATTCCTTCTTTCCTTCATACCATCCTCACATTATTACAGACAACACAACCCAACAGTCCCTCAGTCATCCTGACATCCATACCAAAACTACACAAACCCATATTTTGCCTTTTGAACTGAAATGAAAGATATAGAGAAACCACAAATTGTTTCCAGGAGGCTCCACTTCAAAAATCAGTATAATCTTCTTCTTTAACGAAGTATTTCTACTTGACTCATTATATACAATTAAAACTCCAAACACTCATCACAAAGCTAAACAAAGGGGATTTTTCTAGGACAAGTCTGATGAAAATTTTTAGAAAATGTGTCTCAGGGAGGTATTTAAAGAATGTTTTGTGCTGGAAAAGCACTGTTGCCATTTTAACCTTGTGAGGTTCAAGGATTTCACCAGAACATCCTTATACAGGTCACCAGCACAGTGTCACTAGGCAGCTCCTACCTCAGACCTGAATTCCAGACACCAATTACTGACTCTCAGGAGTTGGTGTCAGTGTGGGACTTTTAAACCCACTACATTTTAGCAGAAAAAACAACACCAAAAGCAGCCTCCTGGCCTCATCTGCTGGAGGATGTTCCCTAGAAAGTGTTCCATGTCCTGCTGGCAGCTCCTACCCAACCTTGAACAAACGTGGCACAGGTTAGATCAGCTTTTGAGCGATATGGTTTCTTTACCTTGGCCCGTTTCTTGCACAGCAGCACCACAATGCTCAGGAATCCAGCAGCAGCTGCGTAGCCCAGCGGGGTCAGGCCACTCTCTGAAGCAGCGTCAACGTTGGCCCCAAACTCCAGGAGCAAAGCCACCATCTCTGCGTATCCCAGGTGAGATTGGACACACAAAATGGGGGCGTTGTTCAGAACTTCCGTCCGGTAATTCACATTTGCACCTCCTAAAATCAGCAACCGACTGACCTGCACAGGGAGGGAGAGCTGTTGGCTGAGCTTTATGGAGAGACAGGAGATCATCAGGGCGACACCGCAACAGAAACCAGGGCCCTTGGCACATGTCCAAGCAAACAGCAAAGGACATAAAATGCTGAGTAAAAACATCTGCCCAATAGATGGTCCCATTTGATGCAGATGGAGCAGTTTAATCACTTCCCAAGTGGCTAGGAAATGGTCTGAAGGGTGCAGCCGTCCTTTGTTTTAGAACAAGGTCACTCCAGCCCCATTGCAGCAGCTGGGGACATGGTGGGGATAGGGAATCAAAACACACAGCTACAGAGAGCTGTATTCAGCACCCTTCCCATGGGATTCCTCTCTATGGCTGGTTTGGCTGTCCCACTGAATAGCTCCCTTCGCACTTGGCACAAGTGGAAAAGGCAACACTTGATGCTGGAGATTGACAAGGAAAGGACATGAAGACAGACACTGAACTCACCTTGCCTGCGTGGGAAGGACCTGGAATAAACATCCTTCCATGTGAAAAAACCTGTATCTCTGTCTGCAATCCCTTCTGCTGTAGAGATGGGCTCACCTAAGTCAACACAGTCATCTTACCACTGCAAAAGAAGTGCCTGAACCAGCACATGAGCACTGTTGGATTTGGTGTCACCTCAGTGCTCATGCCTATCTAAGCCAGAGCCCTTTACATGTCAAGTTCCAACATCAGTTGTTGCATTCCACATCTTTGGGAAGGAAAAATCCCATTTTGCACAGGTACAAACTCACTGTATGCTCATTGCAACTAAAAGGAGATCCCTGGTTTAAGTAGCAGAGTTGATGAACTACCCCAAATGGTAAAGAGAATCTCAACTGACTAAAGGCCTCTCCTCAGCTCAGGACAAACACCCAGCAAGCTGCTCAGCCTCAGCCTGGCTAGGACACTGGACATGGCTCCACGGAATAGTCTGCATGGTCACTGCCCACTGCTGGAACTTCTTGTGTGAATTCTGAACCCCTCAGCCCTCCCCCTCCTCCTCCAATACCTTTATGTTTGGTGTGTAGAGGTTTCTCAGAGATGCCAAAGCCATCGAAAGACCTTCAGTACTGTAGGAGATCCAAAGACCTTGCAGGATGGAGGAAGACACCCCAACTTTTTTACTCAGACCCTGAAAAAGAAAGTAACTTAGATCCAAGCTTACAAATCTGCTCAGTTACACTGAGCAGAGCCTTCTGGGTCTCTGGACTTCCAAGGAGTTACAGGGCAATAACGATTACACCCAAGATAATGTGACAATTTGACATATCTGACCTTCACAATCAATTAATAAGCTTGCAGAAAATTACTCATAATGGTAATGCAGCCATCTCCAAGGTCCAGCAAAGTCAGGATTTAACTGTGAGGAACCAGATCCATTCAACACCCTCACAAAATGCCATGTTAAGGAGCAGAGATTGCTGCTTTTTTTCTTTTTTTAATGAAGTACACAGTATCTGCTCACAATCAGATAAATTCAGGAACTTTCAACCACAGTCTGGAGCAGTAAGCCCTGGTATCTTATAGCAGATTGTTCCCAACTTTTCTAGTTGGTGTCCACAATCAGGTTATACGTAATATATCAAAGGTCCGACATATTTTCCAGCATCCCTAATTGGCAGAGCATCGTTAAACAGGTTTCTCCCTCCTGTGGAAGGAGCCATAATTTCTCCATCGCCAGCAGATGGGAGAGAACAGCTGGATGGAAGAGCAGACGGATGGGATGGCGACTCCAGCAGGAGCTACGCTGTGAGCATGCCCTGAATGCTGCTGCTCTGCTACTGATTTCCCATGAAAGGCTGGTGACTCCATGGAAACTGCACAGGCATCTTTAAACGCACATGTAATTCTGGTTTACATGCAAACCCTGATTTCTGCTTTCTTGCACTCTGGGTGGTCACTTCCAACCCTGCAAAGCAACAGGGCCTCAGTTCCAGTTTCTGTGACTGGAATGATGCTGGTGGAACAAAACCAGCAGCACAAGGTGGGATTTGTTTCCTCTGAACGAAGATGTGTGGGAATCATCATCCCAACCCATTGCTGAACTTGGCTGCAATCTCTAATTCCTCTGTGTGAAAGATAATCTGCAGCATCGCCCTAAGCATCAACAGATTTCTCATTTGAAACAGTTTAATCACCAAAAGAAGCAATAGATTAGACAGGCTCTAACAAATAACAACTCCATGTACTTATTTCTTTAAAATTCAGAGAACTAAACCAAGAAAAATACCTGTTTGTGCTGTGGGAAAAAGAGCTCAGGAATTTGAGCCGCTGTTAAATGCTGCTTTGAAATGAATGACACAACGCAGGACATTAGAAGTCAATATTAAATTTCATTAACTCAGGATGGTGAAATTGGAAAAGGAAAGCAATTTTACAATAAACAGTTAAAACAATTTAAAAACAGTTGTAACTACTATCAAGCCCATAAATAAGCTGCCTGAATCACCATCAGGATCAAGGAAAAGGGTAGCTAATATATATATATATATATACACACTTAGGTATTAATGCAAGACATAAAAGGTGACATTTATCCTTTAAAGAAAAAGTACATTCAACACCATTATCATTCAGTTACCATTTAGGCAGAAGCCTGCCCTATTTCTCATTTTACAGCTTGTATCTTCCTTTTCTAATTCCCTCTTCAGAACTGTGGAGCAGAGTGAATCCTTCAGCAAAAACAAATCCCAGCTGCATACAACATCAAACCAAAATACCATCAGTGGTTCCCACTTCATTGGGACCATCCAACATGAGACCAGTGTATGGCCTGATAATTTGAACATTTTTGCCAGCCCCCACAACGCCAGTGTTCAAATAGTTGGTTTTTCCTGTTCTGTCTGTCAGCATCTTTAATTTTCACCTTATCACCTTTTCTGCTATTTGGCCATTGGCACCTTACAGAATCCCAGAATTACAGACTGATTTGGGCTAGAAGGAGCCTTACAGCCCATCTCATTCCATCCCCCTGCCATGGGCACTGACACCTTCCAGTAGACAAGGTTGCTCCAGGCATCACCCACTTCTGTATTACTGACACTTTAAGTCATTTAGGATGAAATTCAAGCTTTCTCTTTGACTGATTTGCAAAACATACAAATACATCAGCCTGAAGTTTGGGTCCGCTTGTGTCACAACTACACATTTCTCTTTGTGCCCTTTTATTCCATGACAGGCTTTTCAAGTTGGCTTCCTGTATGCTCCCGTTAAGATTAGCAACTGGTTTAAAAGACTAAAACATTTCTACTTTTTCTTCCCCCTAAACTGTTTGAGGATGTTTGTGTTTAAAAGAGAATACAAAACCATCAGATCTCAGCCAGCAAGTAAAGATGGGAACGTGAAAATGTCTTCCCACCCACGTGTCAGGTCAGAACTCTGTGCATCACTTACATTTTTTAACACCTGGAAATTACAAGTGTTCCATCATCACCTTGCTAAAGTACCAGTGGATTCAAACTAGGAAGGACCGGAGAAGGATAAATAAATTTTCTGCTCTGTTTTATCAAAGTTTGCCTCTATACCTAGCTCTCAGTACTCCCTGGCTGGTCAAAATGCTTTAGCTCCAGTTTAATACTCTCCTGGCTTCCGGATAGGTACATAAAATGGAATTATAATGCCACCAGACCTCCATAAATACCTTCAAAATTAGGATCTTTGTGTCTGCAGAAAGATCTTTGTGTCTGCTACTGTAACATGGCAACTTGAGGAAAAACACCCTGAACTGATGACCTGACATGCTCCCTACTTGGCAGAAAGCCCAATGCTACACTGGTAATGGCTTCAGCAAAAGATTAGCCAGAATGAAAGGCCTGAATGGGAAAAAATGCTTGTTTAGAAACAAATACAGTTGGTAGCAATTTGTAAAGGTCTGTGCATGCACTCTTGGAAATATTTTCTTTAAAGAATGCTTGAACTCTTTAACATGGTCTGCAATATTCCAGCCTAGAGGACCCTCCTTCAGAAACTGCTGCTGCTCTTGTTTCACTCAGTAAACACTCACAAATCCTGAGTAAATACTTGTTAAAATAAGCAATGAAAATAAATATATTCAAGGAAAAGCAAAATACTAAGTTACAATTTTTAAACACCTTCAAAACTTTGTAGTGCTTGCAAACAATGCTCTGTTATGCTTATCAATCACTGTGATGCTGGTCCTCCTGCAATGTTGTAAACCAAAGGATTTTGCTGAGTGATGAGGAACAGAAGGCTGGATTGACATTTGTCATATACTAATTGGCATTTTCTACTATTGTAAATATTGCTCAATTAAACCTGGAATCTATTGGAAACCTGTCTACTTAATGAAAGTTGTCATTTGCTCAGAGTCTGAATCCCTGTTAATGGTTCTCACTATGGACATGTGAAATGAAGAAGGTTTGGAATCAGTTTCAGACGTAAATGCAGCTGAACAGTAAACAGGGCTGAATTTGGCTTTGGGAATGTAACTGAAAATGTGAAATTGATACCCTGAAGGATAATGCACCAATCTGGGCGGTCTTCCCTTTGGCTCCAGCCATCATCTTCCCAAACAAGCAGACTTTGCTGCTACACCTGATGGTAAATTTGGCATAGGGAATACAATAAATGAATCCAAAAGAACTGACACAAAGCAGAAATTACCTATTTGCTCTAGGAGCAGAAGCCAGAGTGGCAAGGCCCTCAAGTCTATAAAATCATATAGAGACCAGATGAAAATACAGCCTTGCTTTTTACTAGTGTTAAGCACCCACAGGTCCTAACAGTTGTAAGAAAATCTGTTATTTCCTGTGACCTTACAAATACACCCTGTCATTCCCACCTTCTGGTGCCTGGGCCAGCAGGAAGAATGATAGTTTATGGGTCATATTGATACTCACATTCAAGTTTGCCTTTCAGTTGCCCAGGTCTTAAATGTCTGTGTGAAGAGTAAGATGGACCAATCAGCCAATTTCAACAACCATCAAATTTTACTGTTACAACCTAAATTTTGCATTAGATTCTCCAAAACCGCTCCTTTTAAAAGATTTCCTTTTTTCTATATGCTGCTACAGGTACTTATCTTTCAGGGCAAGAAGCAACTTTTGGTAGAAGAGCAATTTTAGGTAAGGAGGCTATCTGCTGAATTTACTGTCTGAAGGAGGGTTTAATTTTAAGGATTTCTTAGATACCATGGCCGATTTTCTAAAGCTCACTTCTACGCGTTTCAGCAGCCTCAAGCAATCACACTTCTTACAGCAGCCCCACGACAAGACGAGACCGAGTGCTGCCAGTGCTGTGGATGAGATTGGCATAAACCTTCATTTGAATTTTTGTTACCTTAAAAATATGTGCTTTGAGAATATGATGTCCCAGTTCAATTGTTTGCTGTCTATTTAGTTTTCCTTCTTGTCGGGAAAACCAGAAGGCAAGCAGTGTGTGGCCACTCCTAAAATCAGAAGAAAAAGTATGTTAGTATTCCTTATTACACCAACAAAACAACTTTTGAGGACAAAAATGCTAATCCTTCAATCACATCCAGCTTTGGGAAACGGAGCTCGCTGAATTATCACTTGTAAACCAACAATTAATTGCATCCTTTATTACAGGTGATCACTGACAGCTCAATGCCCCTTAGACATCGGCAGACAGCAAAAAAAAATCCAGTATCTTTTCTATGAGCAGATGTAAATTTAGAAACACCAGAGGTACAATGTCATGAAAGCTGCAGTGTTACTTTTATAGTCATTTTGCAGAGGAGAACCACATTTGAAAAGCATGTAACCAACCTGAAGCCACTAGAAAATGCCACATGTAAAATATCCACACCTTGAATAAAATGTCCTTTAAATTACACCTGCACTCACTACCCTGTGGACAGTCCCATGGAATGAAACAACTTTAGTTCTTTGTAAAACTCCTTCTAAACATATTCTCCAGGTTTACCAGAAATAAAAACCCTTCTGGCAATGCCCTAACAGATTGACAACCACAGCAAATTAACTGAACTGCGCACCAAGTCCTGTTCAAGGCAAAACATAATAAAATAGACATTAACTTCTGTTGCTAAAGGTGATTCTACTGACATTTTTAAACCTTCAGGCATTTATAGATTTCCATATTGTAACTGTGCAAGTTCAGCATGGCTGGGTTTTCTCAAAGATGCGAGAAGACTCTCCACAGAGACACAAAACACACATGATGCAAAAGTAAGAAATTTTAATACCATTTCTGTTTCAGATCAGCAAATACTTGATCCTGCAGGTGCCCCAGGCACATGTGGATGCTACAGCAGGAGATGCAGCGAGCAGGGCAGGAGCCAGAGAGGCTCCATGCTGTGTCAGACTCAGTGGTCTGTGTGATATTCTTTTGGTTTTACCAACAAAATTATATTCTTCCTTAAGCCCCTGGCTGCTCCCAAGGGAGTCCTTTTAAGCCACTTCATTTCTGGAAGTACGTAAAAATGTGACTGCACTAAAAGTAATCAAACCCCTTCCAGCCAAGGAAAATAAAATATGATATCAAATGTGGTTTTAAAAGGGCTTTTAAGGACAGGAAATGTTATTAGCTCATCCCTGCCTGGTAAAGCAAAGAAATACTTTGGATGGCCAAACATCTAGTAAATATTACACAAGATAGAAGCTTTCCACAGCAGTGGGGATTTACCAGCTCATCCCTATTCATGGTGAATTACTGACCATCTCTAACTCGGAAAAAAAGTGAATGACTTGTTATGCCCTGGCCAGGTTTTTGGCAAGGTGCCCCCCGAGCCTTGCCAATGAATCTCCTTTTCCATCAGCAACACATGGATTTGTGTGAACAGAGCCCAGTGATGCTCTGTCAGCCCTCGTGGTGCTGGGAAGACAGGAATGTGCCTGCTGGAGGAGTGGGATGAAAAACAAATCGTATTTTTATTATGAGGCAGGACTTGATCCCCAGGTTTGCAAGATGAGAGAGCACCACATCCCATTTACAGGTAATAAACTGTTGCACTGTGTGGACTTCTGTGGTGCTTCGTTCCAAAATGCAGCTCTGTTTATAGAGGCACCATCAACTCAAATAACTTTCCTGAAATGATTTTTTTGACTGATAGTACTTTCACTCTTAGGGTGACTTGGCCATAAAAAGAAATTGAAGAAAACCCCCATTTTTTTGCCAAAAAAAAAAGCTGCTCTCCACACTTTGGCCTGGCACATGGCCTGTGCTGGGATCCCTTGCTCCATGCTTCCCATGACTGGAGGAAAAGCCTCTCCAGATGGTGACTCTGCCCATCACAACACAGCTTTGGTGCCTCAGCTGAGGGCTGAAAATCCATCACGATGCCCTAGTGCACAGGGCAGTGCCTCCAATCCCATGCATCTGTGCTGTGAGAATTCTCCATATAGCACCAACAGAAGGGACTACACATAAAAAGCTGGAACAGAAGGGCCCTGAAAATGGTTATAGCACCTTGACTTAACCCCAGCTTGTTGCCTCACCTTCCTTTGGCTCTCCCCCTCTTTGGAATGCGAGGAGAATGTCAGGTCTCCTATTAAAGGAGATGGATAAATGCATTTGCTCATTACACTGGTCAACCTCTGGGAATGCCCATGGGAAAGAAAGAGGAACAGATCAGAAGGAAACAAGTGACTAGGAAACACAGCTTGAGTGTTGCCAGATACTGCTGGAAATCAAGTGGGATGGCAATTGCTGGATTGAACCTGGCCCCATTCAGCCAGATTATGAAAACTATGTAAATGCTGTAATACACTCTGTCCATCCCAGAAAGTCACCAGATTCACAATGTTGCAATGGGTTTTGAGAGGAGCCAAGGTGATCCACCCAAAGGTTGGTGGTGAAAGCTCAAGAACTTGCAGGACAAGGGAGCTGGAGAGAGACTTTGGACAAGGGTCTGGAGTGACAGGTCAAGAGGAAACGGCTTCAAACTGACAGAGAATAAGTATAGATTAGATTTTAGGAAAAAAAATGCTTCCCTGTGAAGGTAGGAAGGCCCTGGCACAGGTTTCCCAGAGCAGCTTGGCTGCCCCATTCCTGGAAATGTCCAAGGCCAGGCTGGCCTGAGTTTGGAGTAACCTGGTCTAGTGGAAAGTGCCCCTGCCCATGGCAGGGGCTTGGACTGAATGGCCTCTAAGGTCCTTTCTAACATAAACCACACTAAGGTTTTATGATTCCATGATTCAGCGCCATCAGCTACTTCTCTTTCTGAAGAGATTCTCAGGAAGGGATCAGAAGCTGCATCTTTCTGCTCCAGACTGTAAGCAGCTGTGCATAGGGACTCTTCAGCCACGCCACTCTGCCTCTGTGTTCCGCATCCCAGGAGAGCAAATAATACCAGGTTTTTGCTTGTTGGTGAAAAACTCTTTGAGAATGTTTAGGAAAGCTCTGAATGGATCTATAACTGCATTAATCCTAAGCATGAATTGAAAATCCAGAAGCTTCTGAGGTGCCTGTTCTTTGCAGCAAGAGCTGAAGTGCAGCTCCCACCTGACACACCAGTCCAGGTTCCTCAGTCAGCTCCTAAATTGCTTTTCAGCTGCAGTTGGAAGGGTATTTACCTGAATTTAATTATAGACATGACTTTGGTGTTATGAATAAGGCATGTACTACTCCAGAATAAAGTACAGTATTCATGAGTAAATACATTACCTCTGCAATGCTTCCCAGACCTTGGCTTTCAGCTGCTTGATAAATACTTGTTCTGTCAACATTAATTGGAAACCAAACCAGACTGCAACAGCACAGGCTTTTTTTTCTTTCATACAACAGAGTGGCAGTAATGATTTCTACATCAAGGAGCTCAGTGAAATGATATGCTTTGAATTTCACAACTGCAGAGTTTATCATCAGAGATTTTTCTATTTTTAATGTAAGATTTATTTCTTTTTAAATTTTTTTTTTAATGAAAAATTAATAGCCCTGCCAGCTCAGCTCCTAAAGCTTTAATCTGCTCTCTGTGCCTGTAACAACTCCTGGAATGGTCAGGAGTCTGCCTAGATGGACACATACGTGTGTGTGTGTGTGTGTGTGTGTGTGTACGTATATACATATACAGAGTGTGTTTATACATACATAATTATATATGTCTAAGCATATTTATTTATTTATTTATTTATGTAAAAAAGACATAAAAATGAGTCTCTAATCATTCTAACACTCCAAGTGGTATGAACCAGTGCACACCCACAGCAGATCTAAGGAAAGGAAGAGAAGGCCACACACAAGATTATGTAGAATTATGGAATGCTTTGGGTTGGAGGGGACCTTAAAGTCCATCCAGTGCCACCCCCTGTGATGGGCAGGGACACTTTCACTGTCCCAGACTGCTCCAAGCCCCATCCAACCTGGCCTTGGGCACTGCCAGAGATCCAGAGGCAGCCACAGCTTCTCTGGGCATCCTGTGCCAGGGCCTCACCACCCTCTCAGGAAAGAATATTTTCCTAATATCCAACTTAAACCTACTCTCTGTCAGTTTGAAGCCATCCCCCCTTGTCCTGTCACTCCATACACTTATAAATAGATGCTGGATTTGATCTCTACACAATTGCTCCCTTATCCACCCAAACATGAGTCATGCAACTCCGGGTACAGAGCAAGATGATGCAGGATGTTGGTACCTCAAGCACAGTCCCCAGGTGACCCCATTCCTCATGTCACAGACAGAAAAGGACAAAGTCTCACTGACAAAATACTGGTGTAACCAAACAGCAGTGAAAAAAAAAAAAAAAAAAAAAAAAAAAAAAAGCAGCTTCCAGATCTGTGTGTCATTTGAACGCTTCCAGTTCTCAGGTAAAAAATATTTTAAAGGGTACAAAATTACTCCAGTGTTAAGGCATTGTAGCACCAGAGTGAAAAACAAGCAAAAAATAAATGGGAGTCAATCCTGTTCACTTCTAAACCTACCAAAGTCCAAATTCCCTGATTTACACCCACATCTCCCTTCTTTCAGCTAATCCCATGAAAACATTCCAGAATCAAGAGATTTGACACTGTGCCCAGTGAATCTGGTCTTCAGAAGATGTGTATTCACGTTTTATTCAGCTATGCCAAGTGTAATGTCATAACTGCAGTGCAGAGACTGATGTGTGCTCTGACAAAGCCCAGAGCCTCTTCCTTTGCAGAAGGATATCTGGATGCCTGTCTTGCAGAAAAGCCAAGCTCAGCTCCAAGAGCCACTCTTGAAGGAACAGTTTATCACCTAAATTGATTTATTGATTTTTTTGTAATGTAGTTTCCCTCTGATGTTATAATAGCAAATTAACTTGGAAGGAATTCACAGTATAAAAAAAAAAAAATCAAACAAAACAGTCAAGGCTACTCTCTCAGGCACTGCTAGAGGACGATTTTGCTCTAAAAGTGGGTCTTAATATTTGAGGAACAAAATAACAGGAAGAAATTCAGTAACATTTCTTTCTTCAATCAGTTTCTGGTTAACTCCACTCCTCTCTTCTT